AAAAAAAGAAAAAAAAAAAAAAAAAAAAAAATAACAACAACTGTTAACTGCAGTTGACTTTTTCATAAAATTTAATGACAAAAAGGAAAATAACGGAAATTATAATTGAAAATAACAAAACCTGAAATGTGAAGTAATCTCAAAATAAAAAGAACTGTTGCAAACGGAGTCCCTTTCGATAAAGTACCGTACGTCATATTTTACGTATTCTAATGGCGTCCACGACAGGACCAATCGCAAATTGGAAAATTAAGAAATGTTTACAAAATTACTATACTGAAAGAGCCACTTTTTGCAACAAAAGAACCAAAACAAATTAGGGAAAAAATAACATATCATAAATGTAAATTTAATTATTTAAAAAAAAAAGGATTGTGTTTCGCCTTATTGCTCGGGCTACCAATCGCATCCTATTCATGAACGCTATCCCGCTGCTACTCTACGTGGGAACTTTTGCCTGCTGTGTTTCCACCCTGTGCCAGTACGTTCCTCCTTAGACAACCTGGTTGTCCATGCCTCCACTTGTCCAACCATATCGACGCCGAGTTCAGCGTGGACATCCAATCGCAATAGCATAACGACCAGCAGGAGCCCCGAACTCATGCGATCCGACAACCCCGGCTTCCAAAGTCACTGGATTACAGACGCACGCCACAACGCCCAGCCGACAGAATTTAATGATTTTAGCAACATATTCATTGATTAGTCCGTAGTTATTCATTGACCTTATTTGAATTTGCTCAGGTTAAAGCTAGTTCAAATTGATATTCAGGAATGTTTTGTTTCGTTTAACTGGTTTTTAGTTTTGTCTTTCATATTGGTCAATTGTTGCCGCATTTCGTCTGCAACTTTCCGTTTCTGTTCAGTTATCCATTTCAGGAACTCTGAAAATAAATTAATTTCTCGATTAAGAAAATTATGAATCATTATTATTATTACTCTAGGCATAGAAACGCAAACTTTTACTCTATAAATGTAATTACTTTAGGCTAGGCCTGGCATTGCTAATAATGAATAATTGCACCTAAATATTATTATTTAATTGTTTTTATAAACGTTACTTACAATTAATATATAGAGTTTTGATGACCAATTAAAGTTCTTCGAGAATCTTCACAAGGAACATATTGCTTCATATACTGACTGGAGTTAATGATATTGTTGTCTGCTAAATTCTGTGTTTTAACGTGTGCCACTTGCTCGGTTCCTGGTGAATAGAACCTGTCTCTGAAATGTCTGACAGGCGTTGAGGGCTGATGATGTGCCTGTGGTATTGTATGATAATTGGACACATCAACAGAAAATGTTGACCCTAGCCCTAACGACTGCTGGTCTCGAATGTCAATTGTGCTCGTCCCCATCTTCTTAGAATTCCAGGTGGCGGCCTCAGTTCCATAGCAAGCGTTAGTACTGCACGAGGACGACTTGTAATTCATCCTCAATCCACCAGTATCTCCTTTGCCAGTAACATAGGATATTTTTTTATTATAATTATTTGAATTTAAGTTGTCTGAAAAATCGTCATCGTCTACCACTGCAATTTGAAAGGCTGTTGCTACGATGTCTAGATTTCCGTTTGATAGGAAGCAGAGTGACGATGACTTAATTGGTTTTTCACTGACGCCAGGTAAATTGATATATTTATCCTCCGGAAAATTAAATTGATAAGTCCTACGTTGCTGCCTTGGCGCCTGACAATTGTTAGGTCCGTTTTGCTCTCTAAATTCTCGGTCGAATTGACTGTAATAATGCAATGGGTAGTTGCAGTTCAGAATATGTTGATTTTCAGGCTGATAAAACGTTTGATATGGATTGCAAAATGCAATATTTTGGCGATACATCGCCACGGACCACCTCCGGCAGCAATGTATTCTTTATGAACTTACTTTTCGAATTTTGGACGATAACGAAATTAAAATAACGCGCGCGCAATTAATCCAACGCCACTCGAACAATAAAGTGCGCGCGAAACTTTATGTACGCGAATTCCTATCTAAAATCGTAATTAACCATATATCTATTAAACATTTCTTATTATAATTCTATATAATTAACACATTCAAATGTGCCTATAATTATATATTAGTAATCAATTATTGGGTTAAATAATTTGTTGGTATTTAACAAAATAATTGACTTGACTGTTATATTAAGTGTATCACAGTAAGAACAAAACGAAAAAAAATTGTTCATTAGTTACGCAATTATATGTTGGCATCATACTGTACTAGACGCTTCAAAAAAATCTTTATTGATTTTTTTGTAATGTAATATATGTTGCATTATTTAAATTAACTTATAAAAACTCAAAATGATGATGGTATTGGCTTGTGATTTAATATAATATATAACAGCCATTATTATTATTATTATTATTATTATTATTATTATTGTTGTTGTTTCCATATATCCAATACTTGTTAAATTCATACACACATTATTCCACTACAAATATTATTAGCAGTCAGCAAAGCTGACTACTGTAGTGTAACACTCCTGAGGTTGTCTGAATAGTGAATCTACCTCGGTATTGAACACTGGGGTGAGCACTCTCCTTCTGATGATCTTGAATCTGGCGGGAGTCAAACCAGCAACCTCTCACTACCAAGGCGAGTATCATATTCATTTGACCATGGAGACCTCTAGGATATATAGGCGAAGATCTAACCCCCAGGCACTTTCTCTCATACAACTGACTGAAACACTCAACTATTATTATTATTATTATTATTGTATATATATATATATATATATATATATTACTGTCTCTTATACACATCTAGATGTGTATAAGAGACAGGTATATACACTCATACTCTGCTGCCAAAAATTGCTTTTAACAAATATGTGTCAAATTGTTTTAACATCTGCAGTACAGTGTTATTCTAAAAATCTATCTGTACAGTATGAGAAGTGATGTTAAAATTATAAAAACAAAATCCTTAAATAATTACATAAAAAATAGCCAAGACTCGCCATGGCCGCAATGGTACTGGTGAAGAGCAATGGAGAATTCTATCCAAACATAGGGCTATAGAACCCAACCATGTAAAGGTCAATGGTTATTGAGTATATCTTTTATCAGTACTGTGAACATGAATGTGTAATTACCAGTTGTAGAGTGACATCATTTTTTAAAAATAAGTACATCTTTCTTATATGTTCTTTAATAAATAAATATTTTGCTTAATTCATGATTTTTATTTCTAATGAGGCTTTTAGAAAAGTGCGTTAAATCTAGATTGAACTACTGTATATTAATATTATTAAGTTTAATTATTATTAAAGTGGAAGGCAGAAAAACAAAAACATAAGAAAACAGGGGAGAAGAAAAAAATCGAAACAAATTTAAAGGCTTATTAGGTGTAGTGAGAAAATTCAGTTAGTAGAAATTGAAACAGACAATAAAAAGGAGTGCTTTCCATATTTTAATTGTAAAGTAATTCTTCTTTTATTCACAACTCATAACACAAACATGTACACTTTATCACAATAATAAAAATATATGATTCACCTGAATGACATTAAGCAACATACGGGCATGAATAATACTAACATTTTTTTGACATACCATTCTTAACCAATAGTTCTCGGACACAAAATACTCCCAAAAATGCACTTATATTTACAAGTCTACTTCATCAATATTTTTTCGAAATGTATAAATAATTAGCACTTATGTTGAAAAATTCAAACAGCAAAGAATCAAGCAAGATTTGGTTTGTTTTAATGAAACTGAATTATACTTGTTGGTTGCAGATTGTAAAGTAGTAAAGACTATTCTAGAAGGCGGTATCTACTTTAAGATGAACAAATTTGGATAGTGGAAAAGCATTTGAGTGCATTCATTTTAGATGGACAGGTATGCCATATGTAACAGGAGAGAAGCCTATGAGTGCACTCATTTTGCAAGCCTTCCTCGCCTCATATATGTAATCGGTAATGTAAGAACTGTCGTTGCTTCTTGCTAGCCAGGACTTGAGTAAAGTTTCCAAGAATCGGTCGATGTCGCGGTCAGTTACATCCCATAAGTTGGCAACTACGCAGGGACTGTGGACGGAAAGAAGAAACACATTAAAACCAACATAAAGCTCTGTCAACACAATCAAATTTTCTGTGACAAAAAAAAAATGTTGCATGCCCATATATAGTCATGATGTGGCTATATATGGTCATGATGTTCGCATATATAGTCATGATGTGCCTATATATGGTCATGATGTGATGTCATCATGACCATATTTAGGCGTCACATGTTTTTGTCAAATAAACCTTGATAGTCTGGACAGGGCTTAAAGACTATACACCATTATCGCCAAATTTGAAATAAAAATTTCCAATAACCTGGCAACCACCACTGGGGGACTTCCAGAGGCCTAGCATTCAACTATATGTAGTTACCATCATGGAATAATTATACAATAAATCTAAATTACTAATGAGCATGAATATTTATATTTTAAAATGAAAAAAGAATGAAATGTTTATATTAAAAATAAGTCTTAAAAAACTCAATGTTTACATGTACAGTAATTAGCATGATAGTATGACATCTACTGCTGCTATAGCAAAGGTCTAGCGGCACGATGCGCTCTGCGGTACTCTATTTGTAACTAGCCAGCTGCTCAGGCTAGGAGTTGTGAGACGTTGGCGGTTCTGTTTGAAAATAATTCCGATACAGGGGCGGGGCTTATTGCATTCAAGCCTATTAGGTGCCCCATTTATACCTCTGGGTGTGTGAGACAGGCAAGATAAAGTGCCCTGTCCATGGTCACACACACAAGTGGCTAGGCTCAGATCTTGATCTTATAATTAAAAGGCCACTACTAATCGTATTCCATAGACCTATTTCCCTTTGGTGATCATGCTACCCACATTACTGTATAACCAAAGAATACGGCACTTTGATGAGATTCATATTTGAAAGCAGTGATAACTACAAAAAAAAAAGGTAACGTGCTATTCATAGGCCTACAGGGTAGTTCTATCTAACTTGGTGCAATGGCAGTATTAAATGATCCGTGAAAAATCAGTTGTGGCCCGATGATAAAAAAAAAACACAAGGCATGTAAGTACTTCTGATTAAATCACATCAAAATGATTACTACTTACCAACCAGCTAGTAAGTAATTGAGAGCCATTCCTGATGTTTCCAATGAACCGTTGTATTGGAGTCTACCACTGCTGCAACCCATCAGTAGTGTGAGGGCTCTGCACTTGATCCTTTGAATATCATCACTGTTCAAGAACTGTCTCCCATTGCCATGGCCACAGTATCTGAACAAATAGAAAAGGTAATTAATTACAAGATACAAGTCATAATTTTCAATCCCTTCTGACATCAACTATTCATTCATGGCTGCAATTACGGTACTTCAATTCACTTTTTTATTCTTAATTCAACTTGCATTGGAAATTATATCATGCACATATAAAATAGATTAATTGACTGATACATGTATAGACACAAAGCCTACAATATAAAGAAATCAAAAGGAAGAGATTCCTTCAAAATTGTTAAGAGAATACTTACACAAACAAGTCATGATCAGTCAGCGCTGACGTATACTCCTGCTTGTTGGGGGCACAGGCAACCACACCCTTCCAACAAAGCTCCCTATAAAAATAATGAAATATGTTCATAAAAAAAGTGAGTCATCAATCTCTCAAGCTGTTTGTACATTCTCCAGCTACACTGAAGACAATCCATTACAGATGGACAACCCAATAGTTGTCCTGAAGCAAGACATTTTAAAAAAGAATATTACTTTATACTTCATAGACAATCACATTGTTCCTACATATTTGAAAAGTGTATTTCTGTGAGCGTCAACAAAGAAATAGAATTTATTTAATTATTATAAACAAAAACATACTTCTCAAACCAATTCTGGAATGTAAGCTGCGTGTTAGCCAAATCGTTGCTGGGGTTCAACACATAGTAAGTGTTTGTGACATCGACGCCTCGGTTCAGTAAACTCGATGGTTGCCTTATGTCTTGGAGATGGCATGCTAGGAAGTCCAAGCTGGGAACACGGCAGACTGGATGTGATATTGCTGTTGATATGTTCTCCCATGGTAATTGTTGGAGATGCTAATTAGAAAAAAATTATAATGATATAGTCATAAATGATTAAAATGCTTTAAACCAACATAATTCTCAACAGTTTTGAATCAACACAAATACAGGAAGGCACTACAAAAACCAAAATATATTATGAATAATTTATGCCCTACTAGGTACCAATTTATACACATGAGTATAGATGAAGGTGATGATGAAAGGACATCCTCAAGTGACTTACTTTATCAAGTATAAGAATTACAGGCTGGTGAGTCGCATCAGACAGTTCTTTTTCTAATTTCCTTGATAGACTCCTGACCAGCTCCAAACTATTGAGCAGGTCATCAGATCCTCGCTGGAAGCCTGTGATACTAGATAGCATGGACGTCAGCTGTTGAAAGCTTAGTCTGGATGTAGAGGCTAGCAATATCTGTCGAAAATTTGAAGAAATAACTGTAATTACTGTAACCATCATTATCATAGGACTAGATATTATCAAAATCATGATCATGATAACATCCATCAGTTTTATCTTTGTCATCTTGATGACCAATATCACTATCATAATCATTACTATCATTACCATAATCATAATTAAAACACTGCTGTCACTATTGCAAATACTGTATTTACCATGACCAACATATCATCAATATCATTATCACTATCAAAATCACTGTCATCATGAAGATCAACAACTTAGTCAAGACCAACTCCAATGTCATCATTACTGACCCAATTGTTATCATAATTAGCATCGTCGCCTCTGCTGCCTTCATCGTCATCATCATCATAATCATCATCATTATAACAATATTAACACAGCCATAATCAAAGTACCAATTGCACAATGAAAATAAACTATACAAATTCACTGAAAATGTCATATAGTAAAGATGTTCCTTCAATTTGGTTAACTGTACCTGACAAGCCTGCAAGCTGACTTCCAGTTGACTTTTCAAGCAGATTCTTTTATGAAGGTTCTCAGCAGCATCTAGAAGTCTTGAGGCAGTATTTGCATTCTTAGGTTGGCCAGTGACAACCCCTTTCCAACAATTTAACAGCTTATCCTCAATATCTGCCACCAGATTCTGAGAATAGGAAATGAAACAATGAGGCTAAAGTGCTGGTTTAAGTTTTATTAGGCTGCTCCTGTTGTCTCTAACCTCACAAAACACATCTTAGAAATGTCAGAATTATTACCTTATCAATATTGCTTGTGTCCTTGGACAAGGCACTGTATTTAAATTTCTCTCTCTTTACTTAGAATTTAAAGAAACATATAACTGCTAAAATCATGTTAATTTTTTTTCTGGAAAATATTTCACAAGAATGACAAACAGTGACTATATTTGATTCAACTGGAATCAGAATGACAAATAAACTATCTAGCCCTCTTCAATGTATGTCTAAAATGCCATATCCAATGTTGATTGCATTTATATTATTCTGGTTGTGAAATATACCTTCATACGTTGATCCAAGCCTTGTCGACGTGTCCACCAAGCCTTCTTATTCACTTCCTTAGCACTTTCTTTATTATCTGAAATAATTGCCTGGAATTCCTCAACAATTCCACTCAGCATGTTTCCATCACTATCACTCTATGATTTATAAAAAGAACAAAAAGTAGAAGTTACGTAGTAGAGTAACACATGAAGGTCAGAACAATAACGATGGCAATGTTAATAGAAACAAAGATGACACACCAACAATAATATTCTGAAAACAACAACAGCTGCTACTGCAACAACAACAAAAACAAGTTTCAACCAATAACTATACACAAAGTTGACTAAGCCATTCAAAATTTACTGTTATTTCCAAGTAACCTACCCACCATTTTAACAAATAATTAAACTATCAGTACAATGACATATATTTCAATTGCACTTACATGGACTGGAATTCTGAGAACCATTGGCTTGCAGTCATTGACAAGTCTTGATATGAGTAAACAATCAACGTCGTTAAGGTTTGATTTTGTGTCATCCACACTAATGGATATGGCAGCCATTGTAACTACAGTCCATCCTGAAACAATTAAATAATAAATAATTTATCAATTTCAATTTTGGAGACACATACAACCAAAAAGAACTTTTCAAGCATTACATGAAACTTGAATAGAGAGTATTGAGGCGCCAAATTATCAGCTTCACTGGATAGATATCCTTTATGCTAAACAGAGCATAAAAATGCTCTATGATCTATGTGCATGGCGAGTAAAGGCAGGGGGCACCGCAATGCACAGCCATAAAGGCACTGGTTCGAATGGCACGCTCGCCTGTTTCTGGTAGTGGAACAAATCTTCCCGGTGTAGTGGTTCATACAGTCTTCGTTGTGAACAGACGAGAGTGACTGGTACCAATTTACTGGGTAGCTCAGACATGAAGAAACCCTTATGGGAGAAGCAAGTTACTAGCTAGTCTACATCTCAAGCGCTTTGACACTTCGGTATAAAGCGCTATAAAAATCTAACTACATTATACATTACAATGAAAAGCTGTGTCCATACTATATGATTTGTCCTTATATGGGCATGAGGTACTACGCCTATATATGGGCAATCCCTGGTAGTTGTCATAAATCTTGATAGTGTGGATGGAAATTTATACTGCAATTATAATTTTCCAATGGTTGTGATTGTGGTTATGATTCAACCTTCCTTACCATCGGGAAGATGTTTGCTTATTTCTGAAACACTGCTTTCTTTTAGTTTAGGTTGGAAGATTTTCTTAGCATCCATTAAGCTTTTCAACTCAGATCTGAGCTTGGAGTGGTCATCCCCTACCTCGTTGTTCAGATCTTTTGATTCAAGTTCCTTCTTTAATTTTCTGTAAAACAATATTGATTCGATTCTTAAATATTTTCAGACAATAATTTGACAAAAACATGTAACCATCTCTGGATCATCACACACCACTTTCATATGAAACATTGCAGACACAAACCTGTTAGTTCTTTCCTTTCATCATTTATTCGTCTCAAAACATTAAAATTGACAATAAAGGAAACAGCAAAGAACAAGCACAGACAATAACAGGACACCCCAAAAGTGAAATTAATCACTGTTGAGTGGTGGCCCTTCACAAGAAACAACCAAATGCCTACGGAATATACATTTTTTTAAAATATATAAACATTAAAAGTTAAAAATTTAAGAAGTTCAATAGTAAAAAAGGCATAATTTAAAAGATTTAAGATATAAACATTTTCAGTTGATTCAATAAAATTTACTTTAAAATTCAAATTTAAAATGCTAAGGTATAATTAACAAATGAACAAGCATAAAAAAAAACTATACAATAACACTGTGTGGGTATGTTTTCTTTTTTGTCATTTACAGGCAAGAAACCATATTACAGGCATAGAAGAAAAAACACAATTTAATGCGATCCAACTTCACAATAACATCAGTGTTTGCACACCTTACTCAATTTTAGGTTAAGTGCAGTAAAGAAAAGATACAGAACTAAAAAAAAAAAGACAATACAGTATGATTTTACCTGTGTTTCTTTCCTAGGCTTAAGAGCTTCTGATGTTTTAAGGTGTTTGCCATGGCCTTGTTTAGGTAAAACGCAGCCTGCTGAGGCTCACCATCCCCATGACACATGGCCAACAAATGACATATTTGATTGTATATCGGGCTAGGAGCCTTGTGTTTGATCAAGTTGTAGGCCTGGTAGAGTTTATCTTGTACAGAGGTAACTAATCAAAAATGAAACAAAAAGATAGAGAATGGAAGGCGAATTCTCAAGATAACAAAAAAAAAAAAAACCTCCTCTACACATTTTATATTCATAAACAAAAACAATAAACAAAATTATTTTATGTTCTAGACTGACAAACATTTCATAGATTAATAATTTACTAACCTGATTTCTTTATATTAATCGTATCTTCATTATCCAGGAAGGACTGGTTAGAAATCTGTGTCTTTTGTGTCTCTTCATTCTTTGGTATTCTTATTTTCCTTATGCATCTTGTGTGCTCATCATCTCCTTCAGATTCACTACCAAATCTAGGAACTTCAATGTCATCAATTTCATCATCTAAGTTTAGTGTATCCATACCAGATATGCTGAAACCAAAATCAGAGTTTGTACTGCTATGTCTTCTGGATGGAATGACTTCACCAAATACATGACTGCCATTTACTAATGAGTCAGTGGTTAATGGAGAAATTTGAACATGTTCTTCGTGGAATGAGAGCTCTGAGATTGCACTAAGTTGGAAGACATCATCTTCATCTTCCGAAGACGTATTGTTATCTCGCATTGCTTCCACAGACGTTTCTGCCTTTGGCTTCCGTCCTCTTCTCTTGGCGGATTTACCCAGATCATTTGGATTTGCCACTATCGTTTCAACAGCTTGCTCCTTTTTCCTCCTCCCTCCTGGTTTAGGTTTTTCTTTGTTACCCTCATCAGATAAGATCTTTTGTCTTCCACGAGTTTTTCTTTGCACTGGTTGTTTTTCTTCACCATCTTGTACCTCTTTCTTAGCCTTTGGTTTTCTTCCTCTGACTGCTCTCTTTTCTGTTAGCTTTTCTTCCTCTTCTTCTGTATCCTCACAAAAAATAGCATACAAGAGGTCATTCTTAGTTTTGGGTGATGCATTACCTCTAATGGTAACAGGTTCTTCTTTTTGATTAGCAGGTGGTTCCAAGATCAACTCGGATTCCTTGGATTTCTTTAAAGACTTAGCTCTCTTTCCTCTGCTTGGCTTTGTTTTTGTATCTTTTGAATCTTCACTAGGAAATTCAGTATTATCACAGAATATAACATATTTGGGATTCTTTGGTGCTTTCCCCTTTAGTCTGCTTTTCCTGGACGTCTTGGGCTTTTGTCGATCTATGGCACAATCTTCATCATCAGTTACAAAACTAAAAACATCATCATTTTTAATCTTTTCTACCACAGAACTCTTTTCTCCTCTACCTTTCTTTACACTGTACATCACTGATCCTTTCTTAGTTGTTGCTGTGCATTTCTTGACAGTACTCAAAGCAATTTTAGAATTAATTTTTGCATTTTCATCTTGAAGTGCATCTTGTATGTCACAAAATATCCCTAGATCCCCTACATCATTCAAAGTTTTGGTAGGATCAGTTCTCACAGACTTCTTGCTATGTCTTACCATTTCTGGTCGAACATCAGTTGAGACAAGCTGGACCCAATTTTGTCTTTTAGGTTTAGATTCTGGACTTTCTGCACTTGCAGAACTGGCACAAATGCTTAACTCCTCAAATTGATTTGTTAAGATGTCACTGGTGTTATTTTCTGTCTTTGGTCTGGAATTTTTGACATTCCAGCAATGACTCAGAATGTCAACTGGTCGACATCCATTTTCGATTGCACTTTGGTGAAGATTGCACACTGCATTTGTAAAATGCAGCTTACATAATGCATAAAGATCTCTGCTGAGAACAAAGTCAACAGTCTGAGACAGTTCAAGACCTCTGTCATAGTAGTCTGCTGCCAGAGAAAATCTTTCCTGGTTAACTAAACAAGAAAACATTTCAGAATATAGATCCAGAAGTGGTGAGTTTAGTCCTTGATATATACTTTCTGACACCTTGCGTTTGCAAATCCGCTGATGTTTTCCACATGATCTTTGTATTAATCTCTCTCCCAACATACACACTGACTGGAACTCCATTGAACTCTTAGGGTTGACATCACTGTGAAACTGTCTGACAGACCTTAAGACGTTCTCCTGTTCTACTAAATCGCCTTCATGACCACAGACTTGCGCTTTTAATATCAAAAGCTCCATGTCCAGCTTCTGCAGTATTATATCCATACAAGCTGAACAATGACAATTGTCTGGATGCTTGCTATATTCTGGTAAACTACACTGACACACTTTCAGACTTGGTGATGACTCCATATCTGCACAGCCAACTGTCATCTGTTCAGTAGTTAATGAAAATTTCCTGCTCTGTATGAAGTTGTCCTCATCATCGGATGCATCAAAGCCAAACATATTTGAAGCTGATGGGCTTTTCTTTACTGCTTTGACAGCCATGTTGTCACTTCGTTGCTGTGACATGAGACTGTTCTCTTCCATGCTGAGGAAGGCTTTTGATCTCTCCAAATGAGATCTTGCTTTGGAAATTTCACCAGCTAGTAGCTCAACCCTTGCCAGCTCCAACATCAGTTCTGCACACCTTAACAAATCAAAGAAAGTACAAAAAACATTAACAATTTTTTGTTTTCATTTTCTTCACATTTAACAGTAGCCTGGGTTCCAGGCCCTAATTTTAAGTTACTCACTCTTTATTGCACTTAGTGCGCGCCATACCTAATTTAATTGGCGTCCCATACTCGATTTCTTTTTTTTCGAATTAGGGCCTGGGCAAACGATTCATGCGTACGATTTCCCACATCAAATTTGATGTGGGATATCGTATGCATGACTGATTTTGTAAATCACGTGATTGGCTAACTTCATGCATATTAATCAATCTTGGTAAATTTTCAAAATTGAAGATGCGGATGTCTCGACTAGAACAAGCTCCAGCTCCCTTTTGGCTACCTACTTGAATAAAAATAGTTCTGGCCTGCTAAGAACGACATGGACTAATAACCGTAGGCTATAGGACTACTTGTAACCTTGCTCACCGCTAGCTGCTACACAGATTTAGGCCTTTAGGGTAGAATATTGTTAAAAAGGTAGGCCTCTCTAAGTAAGAACTTAAAAATAGGCCAAGCCTCTACTAGTCTAGGCTAGGCCTACTACCTGACTCCAGGCGAGGCCTGAGCCATCCTGCTGGAAAGTTAAAGTTTTGTTGTATTTGTATGGTATGCCATCTAGTCTAAGCTTAATTGTTTTTGCCATTGCCAACATTAGTCTTACTAGGGTCTATTCTAAATATTTTAGGCCCGTTTTATTGGGAGGACTATTTAAATTTAGTCATGCCTAACTAGTCGGCGCGAGTGACTCAGTTTCGTGGCTCCAAAAATATGAACATTTGATTGGTTGAAATTGTTTATTTCGGTCCGCCCATTTATCCAAATATGGAATATAAGATTACGTCATTCTTTTGGCATCCTGGTGCCTGATTTCAGTGTTTTACAAGTCGCTTATTCCGTCTCTAAATTAACTTTCTCGTTGGTGGCGCTGTCCAGAATAAGAAAAATAATAAAAAATAAGATACTTGTGGCAAGTCTAATTTAACAGTTGCATCTAGATTATTTTTCATCAGATTCAGAGATGTTCCATCTTATTTTCTTTAAATTTCATTGATAGTATTAAAAAAAAAAAAATTCAATCAGAGTGCGACAAAAAATATCTTTATGTTGATCCACACTTAACACTGTGTCACTCAGCATTGATCACTTTCTATTTCCAAAAACTGATGTGCTACAAAAAAAATATTCTGATCAATCAGTGACGTCACTTTAATAATCATTTGGTGAGCAAGTACTGTAGACTGCAGAACAAACCAAGAAGGTAAAAATTTCCTTGAATAATGTATAATTCAAAAAAAAAAAAAAAAAAAAAATCTACACAAGCTGTTCTCACATACCTTCTTGGCACCATGAACTTTTGCGCTAAAGTCAGGCCTTCAAAAAGATAGCACCGTGCCTCACGGACACACCCTTGCTCCATGTACTGGCGACCAACACTAAGAAGCGATTCCAGAACAGATGCAATAATCGACCATTTGCAGATACCATGATCATCTATAAATATAAAAGTCATAATTAATTATATATCATTTAAACTTTCCTAACTAGTGTTGTTTTAAATAAATTTTATGCTCTGGAAACTGTTTTTGTTCATAATACTCCATACCATTGTTCTTTACAAACTTTATAAATTTGTGGTTTTTATGACCTCTTATTTTAATTCCATTAACTTTTCAGGTTTTAAAGTCAGGCTCTGGAGTATTTTTTTTTTTAATAGAAAGGCGAAAAAAAAAGTGGTAACTGCCCTTCCCCCCCACCCCCCAGTTTTTAAATATTCAAAAATCTGTATCTCATTAATCGCTCGCAAGTTTTTCATCAAATATACTTTTTGTGTCTTACAAAAATCAGTTTTACAACATAACAAATATTTTTTTTCTCGACCAGAAGGAATCTAGAGCCTTACCTTTTTCGGTTTCTGAATTGGTCAAGTCCATCTGACAATTTTGATCACTGCTATAGATCCCATCACCAAAGACAAACCTTGCAATACCCATCCTAAACCTCAAAGCATCATGATGTAGATCAAGAGGTGTCGGTAAGTCTGGGCAGAGGTCTTGCAGGCATGTACCCTCAGTCATGTCTATTGGTAAATTCATAAGCCCAGCAAGTAGGTCCACCACTTGGGCCTTGGTCATGTACCCTTGCTTGTTTCGTTTCTCCATAAGCTCCATCTCATTGAGTTTTACTAGTTTTTCTACAGCTTCACTGATCTAAAAGTGAAACCATTGCAATTTTTGTGAAAAATAACAATACATAAAAATGTTTGAGACTATAATAATGGTAAAATTGTTACTTTGTTTGCTTTTGTTCAATACAACAGCTTAATTGGCCCTTAACTTAAAAAATAAATATAACATATAAATAATGAAATTTAATAGTACCTTTCCTGAGATAAACAGTGTTTGGCAATGTGCCAACAAGTGATATGCTAACGCCACTGAGTGGTCAGTCTCTGGGTCATCAGAAATCTTGCCAATGCACTGGGCTATGGTCATTGCTGTCCGTCCATCTCCAAGCTTTGATAGAATACTGGCAACTTGACTCAAGCTCTGGCTGTAGTCCTTCCCTGTGCTAATGGTGCTGGCTAAAAGTAGTGTAACTACTTGTTGCAGTGGCTAGAAAGACAAATGAACAAATACACTACAGAATATTTATTTGCTTGATTACTGTACATGAAATTAATTACTAGTGTATAAAGTTAGCATACCTGCAAGTGACCTAGTTTACCTTATCTGTCAAGCATATACGCTTAGCCAGGTAGCCATCCGGCTGTCCATCTGGCCATGACGGTATGGACAGCTTGGCCTAATCCTCGGCCTAGCCTAATTGGACCTGGTCTACCTTTAGCAAATTCTTTATATTCTTCAAATCTTCTGTATCGAATGTTACATTAAACTAGAGTTACAGTAAATCAAATTTCTGTTTGATAGAAACAACCTTTATTGACTGAATGAACATCGTTTTCATACCAATATTCGGTGGGGATCTCCAAAAATGTAAGGCTTAACCATTGCCTACCTGATGAAAAGTTCACTTACAACACATGTCATGTTAAAAACATTTATACTCCGCTGGAAAATGGACGGTCCTGAATCGCCCACAACGCATGCACGTGGCTCTGCAAATACAGTATTTGAGATTCGGTTCCCCGACATAATATTTTTGGTGTTTGTTAACTCTCTGGTTATAATTAATTCATGCCATAAAGAAGATTTGTTGTTAACGTCAGAAATTAAATCTTATTAGTCAAGAAAATACAGTAAGTCTAGGCCTATCTCTCATATTCGGAGGACGTAGACTCCTAGAGTAGAATTTACACTAGAATAAGCAAGTGATGATACATCTGCATAGCCTAGAAACATTATGTGAGTAACCGTAGCCATGCGCAATCTATGCCTGTAACTGAAATATCTTTGTGATAGCTAATTCAACACTATTCCATTGAAGACAAAATTCTAACATTTAAACACTTTAAATGCCCTCTAAAAATCATAATTTTTCTATTTTTTTTCTTATGTTTGGGAAGGGGAATGGCATGCCCATTGCCTCAGAGCCACGCCCACTGGATTCCATTTGGACAGCCTATTTCATATTTCTGGCTAAACCCCTGCTGTCAAGTGATGCAGGTAGAAATTTATATCTACCAAATGATACAGGGATGGAACTATTATATTTACCCTATCTGCCAAGTGGTAGATTGCTGCTGCCATCTGCATACACTGGTACAATTCCTGATTAGAATCAGAACTCAGAGTGCCAAAGTTCACCAGCTGTCTCCAGATGTCAAGAGCTTTGTTAAGAGGTTCCATCAGGCTGCTCTCCAGCCCCAAGTTGCTTGTTGGTGGTACCAATGAGCTGGAATAAGATTGTTTTTCCTCTTCATTCTCATGGCTAGTCTCGTCAATCTGGGGGTTTCCTTTACTCTTGTCAGTTATGACCTCTTTCTGTTTAAAAGATTCCTGTACCTATAATTAGTAAGTAATTAATCAATCAATCAATCAATATTGGATTTCAGACAAAAATCCATATTAAAGAACGTACTAAAGAACATACTGCAGAACATAAGAAATCACAATAGAAACTATGACAAGAAATACCATATAAATTCCTTAACTATACCAAACTTAATGGTACCTACAGAATTATAGTTCTCTCCATTAGCCATACAAGGTTACCTGGACTATAGATGAATCAATCAATGAATATTGGATTTCAGACAAAAATCCATATTAAAGAACATATTGCAGAACATAAGAAATAAAAATAAAAACTATGACAAGAAATAACACATAAATTCCTTGACCATACCACACTTAATGGTACCTATAGAGTAGTTCTCTCTATCGGCCATACAAGCTTACCTGGGCTATAGATGATTCCATTTCACACACACATAACCAGAAATATGCAAATGATAACTGAATAAGCTCAGCCGATTGGCTCTTAACATCAAGATCTTCCTTAATTGTAGATAAATTCAACAGCTGTTCCAGGAATGTAATTGCCTCCCTAGAACAATCCTCGGGTGAACTGAAGAAACATAAATGATAAATAATCATCATCGATAATCATAATAATTTTTATCAGTCAATTAGCCGACACTTGCTTATCTAACAAAGGGAGAGGAACATTTGAACACACAAATATAATACTTACAAGCCAGTGTCAAAATCTCCAAGTCTGAGCAACTGAGCAAGATAAATGAGCATGGTTGAGCGCTTCAGTGCATACTGCTCACAGTTGTAGATCTCCAAGAGATCACATACAACAGCATACTGTTCAACAACTGTGTTATACCTGAAGAAGAGAATTGCATGACATACTGTCAAAAACCAACAGGCATTCAATAAAAACACTGACATCACTATTCAAGCATCTCTTCCATAATGTAAGTGGCTGGTGAGATATTGCTGTCATGTTTTTATATATGTTTTTATAATGTTCGGATCAGGTGTGGTTGGAAGAAGTTTAGAGAACTGCTGCCACTACTCACTTCCAAATCAGTTTCTTTGCACACGAAAGGGAGACTGTGCATGTGTCAGAAGTGAGACCTGGGAAATAAAGGAGGTGGACATGTGTAGGCTTGAGAGAAATGGGATGAAAATGGTAAGATAGATGTGCCATGTTAGCCTGAAAGACAGACAGACTTCACAAGAACTCAGGGATAGACTTGCCATACAAGGTATCAGGTATTGTGTGCAGTCCAGTAGACTACGTTGGTTTGGTCACATTGAAAGGACGGAGGCAGATAACTGGGTTAGCAGATGCAGAAGTATGGAGGTCGAAGGTAGTAGATGTAGAGGCAGACCCCGGAAAACATGGGAACTCATTCAAAGCGACCTTAGGGCAAAACATCTAAGCCAGCAGTTAGCTCTAGACAGAGGAGCTTGGAGATCTGCCATCAAATGAAGAATAGTCCAACCCGTAACAAAAATGGAAAAGGATTGAAACCGTATATGATGATGATGATCACGATGACTTATAACTTACCTTTGAGCCTTGTAAATGCTAAGTTCTATATGTAAGAGAGCAGTCACCTGATCATCAATAACACCATCAATCTCCTTCTCAATAACAGCATCTTTAACAGTTCTACAAAAATACAAGCAATTTATACTTTAGTATGAACAAAAGCTGACTAAAACCCTAACAAAACCAAAACTCCTATTTATTGGCGATTCGTAACAAATGTAAACAAATCTAATGGAAACATCATAATCCTGCCAGGTCAGGAGGAAATTTCTCCCACTGTTCAAACTTGGACCCTCGTCATCTGATGCCATGAGGCCAATACTTGATATCGTGGTCTAAAAAGCACAATTTGGGGCAATTTTAAACCATTAAAATCTCTGACCCACCCCTCCAATGAACACAACCAGAGATTCTATTCCAAAACCATAACCAAAGCTCTAGGTGGCGCCCTGGTTCAGACCTGGACCACCCTGTCTCACTTTCTCGACACCTTTCGTGAGCCACCACTATTTTTATGTAATTTGACTGTATACAATGTTCATACTTAGCTTGTGTACAGTGACTTGAGTACTGATTGACTGCATTTCAGCCTAAGAAAATACCAATATTTATGTACCTTGTCTGTAGATGATCCTGGCCATTCTTCACACCATCTCTCTTACATTTGATCCACTTTTCTACTGAAGACTTCAGCAGTGACTCTGCAGTGCACATCAATGCCATCGATGTCTCCAGGCTTGACATAGCCTTCTTCAAGAAGCCCGCTTTTCTCTGGCAGTCCGCAAGTAATTCAAACTTGGTGAGAAGCTGGATCTGTTTAAAGAAAATTGTAGATGAAAACAAAAGAGAAAGCATTTTAAGATTCTTCTATCTTAATTATCTTATTAAAGACAGATTCTCTTGAAAGATAATCAACAATTGACTATACTTCTTGTAATAAAGTGACTCTAATTTTTTTATAATTTTATTTTATAAAGTATCTACTGTATTTCCGATTCCACGGTTAGTCGCATTACACTTTTATGCTTCAATTCTTAAACTTGGTGGTATAAGTTTTACAGGGGTGAATCTTTCACTCAAGTTTATACAC